GCCGATAAAAATATTTTGTCATTATTGCATCAAGTTTTTGTGAAAATTTGCTGGCACTATTGTCAGAGGTCAAGGTGCCGGTAGCCTATGTTTCACATTTCATATATTCCACATCGAACACTCAAAATAATATTAAACTGTATAAATAGTACAAATAAACCAAGATTTTGTGAACATTAACGGCATTAGGACCACTTTATGCTGCACTCTATTTTCATGAATGTGTATTTTTACGCTTTTATAGGCCTATTTAAATCAAAGATGTATGACCCATAGATCGTTTTTAAGTCACTATATAAATAATATTACACTTTATTAAATTTATTAAAATGATTTAGATAGAAAAATTATAAAATGTATATACAGACAATGATTTTGAGAACATTAACGGCATTAAGATCATGAATTTTTATATATATAGCGATGTTATATTTAAATTAAAATGCATTTTACGACCCACGGATCGTTTTCAAGTCACTATATAAATAATATTACACTTTAATAAATTAATTAAAATGAGTTCACTTAGCCTACTTTTAAAGAGTACTTCGATTTACATTGTTGAATATCGGTTGCAAAAACATGTGCCTACGACTATACGGTATGTCATTACACAACAACAAATCGTTAGCTCTGTTTTTTACTATTGTTTACATTTTCACTCAGATATTCCGGTTTAATGCCATTGTATGAAAAGGACTCAAAACAATTTTAGAGCATTCTCCAGTCTGAAAATGTAGGCCTGAACAACAACACAACAATGGATGCCGCAATTAAATCTAACACCATAAAGGCATACATGCTTGTACAACTACAGTATGGCACACTCTCTGCTTACCTATATGTATATTTTCTTACTTAGAACATGGACCTATTAATATTTAGGTCCATGCTTAGAAGAAAGACCATTCCAAAATTCAATATTTCAGAAGATGTTTTTGCGACGACGTGTCTACGACACAGTTCCGGTAGTTCACATACTGAGACAGGTGCACCACCTACCAGGTATCTGAAGGAAAATTGCTGCCAAGGACAGTTATAGTGCCCTACCAGGCTAAACCTACAAATTATTAGTTCAGCGGTCACCCCTTATTAGCGTCTACACTCGAATTGGTCTAGCACTGGTCCGAAACGGTATCCGACCAGTTTGCCGAAACCCATTATTGCCGAATTAATGGCCTCTTTGCCGAAACTCAATTTGCCGTTACCATCGTACAACAGTACAGCATACTGTGCTTTTGAAAACATGATGAGTGGATCAGGGAGGAGCCATATTTACATTGTATTTGTACCCGTGTAAACGCTCCGCTTCGAATAAACGCCCCTTTAGAGCCTCATTTGGAATAAACGCCTCTTTCGAAAACACCCATTGACGTATATTTTTGCCTCAAATAAGCCCTCTAAGACTCTAAACAGATCTAATGGAAACATCATTCCCAACACTTTATATTAATGTTTTACTCCAGTAGAATTACATTTCACAATTTACAATTACAGTGGAATTATAGGGAAGTTTGAGTATATACAGTACGTATTCATTTTACACACACAAAAAAAATAAACACCTTCCTCGCTCGAATAAACTCGCCCTCAAAAAACCATTCTCAACAATAATCGCCTCAGGGCGTTTATTCGACGAAATCGTCCGTGACCAAAAATGATACGGTAATTTGCCTATCCATATAACGTTATTTTGATTTTCAATTTCTAATATTGTGGTATAAAAAAAAATTAAAAAAAATAAAAAAAAACTCCCACCGCGAACACATCGATTTTTTATGCCGAGACCCTGACAGAGGCTCTAGTCAGCCCTTTGATTCGGGTATATAATTGTAGATTATTATTATTTATTTATTAATTTCATTTAGGTATACATATTATTATCTTAATTAAACTTTATACACTTATTATAAATATGCTTATAAGACATTTTATCTGACAGACCTATCTTATTATTTTTTTCCATGAATTATTTGATGAAAAATTACTTAGTAGGTTATGGTAGCTCTCATGAAAGCATATTAGTATTAAATCAATCAACAATGTGTGTACTTTGATTTTTTAACAGTTTAAACAGCCTTTGTAAGATCAACCAAAGAAATTAAATAGGCCTATACTTCAAATATATAGAGAGCTCACTAACCATAATAACAAAACAATAAGCAATCATTTTTTGGTTTGTCATCAATATTTATAATTCAAAATTTAATATTGTCACCAAATACAAATTACAAAGATGGTATTGTCACCAAGACCAATTAGACAATCTTGATTCACTTTCGACGGAAATGGCGTTTATCTGTTTTTGCGTATGAACTCTTCATATATAGGCCTATATATACACACATCTCTTATACACATCTAGATGTGTATAAGAGACAGGGCCTAGACCTCTCCTCAAGATGAGCATCATCAATGTTTACACAATGACGGAAAATCCTAAATAAACAATCTTTCTTTGTTGTTTAATGTGTCTGAATCCTGTCCTAACCCTCCACTAAATCTACATTAAGACTGAAAGTAATTAAATATATAACATGCTATTATTTTAAAGTAAGTCAACACAGCAAGAACAAGCTACTTCAATCTTTCTTTCATTTAGACATCTGAATAAGAAAATTACAAGTTTTGTGTGTGTGAATGTCAGTACCAGGCTTATGTTTCAAACAGTAATTATATTATACATACGTGTTCTGGAAAATATAAAAAAGATGAGGATATAAACGCTAACTCCTTGTATTAGATTACAAAGATAAACGTATAAAACTGGTAGAATGATTTTCTTATCCTACATTTAGGCCTATATGTTCATTACTATCTGTTGAAAGGTAAAAAGTCTAAGAGTGACTGACGATAGGGGGCGTAAACATTCCTCGTAAGTTCCTTACATGGTCTGGGTGCAGGTGTCGTAACACTTTGTTATCTGTATGTCCATCAATCCCATATTACTAGTTTGCTGTATAAGCGAATTTTCCTCAATTATGAAATTGAAAAACCATTTTCGAGTACTAAATTTTGTAATTTGGATATGAATTTTTTTATTTTTTTTTTAATTTCTAACAATCGTCCAACAGGAACTCTTCGTTCCCACTTACAGGCGAAAAGTGATTGATCTTGATGAGGACAATGATGATGATGATTTTGACGATTAAAATTACAAGAATGACTGATGAAAATATTGATGAGGAAGGCTGGGCACACATTCCATTGAATGATGCAGTTCTATAGAGAACACAATGAACCTATGTGCATGTGCACAAAGGATCATTTTATCTGCTCAGACTTCCATCTACAATCGACAGACGTAATAAATTAAGTTTCTCTACCAAAGAGTAGTTTTCGCCGCACGACGTTAACCTTAAATTAGAGACTTGTGGTAAGTCTAGTGTATATATAGAGCAGAGATCAATTTGTCAGTAAATGTTCTTCATTTATGACTATGTGACAGACTTTACCAAACCAAATTAATCTCTAGAAATACCTTGAAAAATAAGTAAACATTACAGACCACTGCTTTGAACAAACTTATTTTATTAACAAAATTTGCAAAAGCAACCAAAAACAATATAAACATAACAGGGTAACTAATTGAGTTAACTTGAACCAACTTTATCCATTGTATAAGGCACGTTGAGGTATTTTCTAAATCAATCCTTCACATCAAAGTTTTAAAACAGAACCAAACTTGGTAAAGTCTGAATAATAATTTACCTCATATGCACTTTCAATCTTCTCAAAATTTGGAATGAAAAATACCGAATATATCTCTTTTGGCAGTATAGTACATAAATACCTGTATTTTCTTAAATAAAAACCAATTTCTTCTTAAAAAATGATTTTTATGGATAAATTTCATTTGATTAACCACTTAATTCAAACAAATATAATTGTAATGTATTTGATATGCAATGGAATATAATTATGGCAAACATTTACAATAATACAATAAAGAAAAAAAGGACAAAATTTAAAAGAATTTGAAATATTTTTCATTTATAAAAGGGAATAAAAACATTAAAATAAATTCTAATTTAGAATGATGTTTAACTTTGATCATCATACTTGGAATTTGACCCATTATGGAATTGTGATCAATTACCTTTTTAGATTCCATATATTTCTCACATTACAGTATATACCATTTTATAATTTAGTTCCATGTTAAGGATCCATCATGTACATAACATATAACTATAGTAAATATTCACAGGTGGGGCAAGTACAATATTCAAGTAAACAAGAAGAATATGTGTATACATTATATATATATATATATATACATTATATATATATATATATATATATATACACACACACTATATATATACAATTTATATAAATGTATATTACACTACTATATAATATACTATTTCAATTATATATAACTGAAAATGACTGCCGTGTTATATGATAGGTATTGATATTAAGGAAAACCTGTTGGTTTTATGCTTAGAAAACCTGCAAGATAAAACTGGTCACATGAGTCACTGAAGCTGTCCTCGAAATAGTCTACTCCATTCAATTACCACAAATACCTAACTTACATGCCTACAGGTTCTTTACATGCAACATTATCTTTGAGTTCTTTGGCCAGTACACGTAACATACCCATATGTACCCACCAGTATAATATATACTCAAAAAATATTCTTTTGAATAAATATCTAGAGAATGTACTTTAATGCCAATAGTAAAGTATTGAGTGCAGAATATACTGTGTTGCTCAACAACAAAAATAATTTAACTTAACAACCAAGCAAAAAGTTATATGCCTAAAAACAAAAAAACAAAAAAAAAACAAACAAACAAACAAACCTAGTATTTCATAATTTTGGCCCATTTATACACCTTTTTTTGAATACAGTAACTAAAATCTAATATGCATAATACCATTAAAATTGGTACACACAAACAAAGCTGAGTTGTAGATATATCAAATTTCCTGTACATGCAAAAGATGGGAAAAGTGTAAGTGAATAAATGAAAAAAGTGATGTCGTATTTCAGTCAAACAACACATTTATACACTGTACACTTATTTTAATTATTATTTCTTCTGGTAATCAAGAAAAGTTAAAAAGATTCTTGCTTTTCATTTTCATGATAATCTACAAGAAAATTATCACCTATACTGCTAAGTTAAATTACATGTATTTACATCAATTCTAAAACTATAGAGAGCATACCATGCTTAAAAAAAAAAATCGGAGGGTTGGTTTGAAAAGGGAAGTTTCGAAAAATATTTTTTTTTATGTCATTGTCAATGTCTTTACAACATGGATACACTTTCAACACATTTTTAATGTACATTGAATTGTAAAAAATTTCAACATCAATGAAGTCGGTGGAAAAATCCCAAAAGAATACTTTCTGGTTACAAACATGAATACAATGCTGGTAACAAATCAAAATGAACATTTATGAATTTATATCAATGGAGTTGATTCTTTTTGTTTTATTTTCAAAATCAGAACCATTTCACTCGAAAAGTCCAGCATAAAAATATCAATTATCATCGCGAGATGTATGTTACGTCAACTGGCAATCTCCATATAATTAACATATAATCAAACTTGCTATTTCTTAAAAAAAATATAAAAAGTTTTTCTTTTTCAAGTAAAATATTAAGATTTCATTGTCTCAGTTCTCCTTACCAAAGCAATAAAAATGCAGCACTTTTTCTCTAGCTGCATTGCAACTTACTTGCTTCAAATTCATCATTCGAAGCAACCCTCAAGGCATAGTCTAAAATAAACACCCAAAATTTATCTGTATTCCTTTCTGTTACATAATAGCACCAATTTAATCGGTTGAATAAAGAAACAAAGATAATAAATGAATTAAATTATGGATTACATGAAATTTAACAACTGTACAAATAATTGAGACAGAAAGACGCTCAACAAAGTGCTCGATATCTTGCCCAAGTAAATTTGAAATTTTTAAACTAAAATATGTAAAAATTCAAATATATATATTCCTATAACAAATCAATTTTCTCTGATTTATGTTCTTTAAAATCTTTAAGAAAATTATTTTAACTCTCAGAAAATAGAATGGCTGGCTACTTTTTCTTTACAACACAGCAAACAATCGATCTGCTGTACAACCCATAAAATATCCCTTTAAATTGTTTTCATTTTTTCCTCATATCATCACTACTGCATCAACTTCTTTGCATGATCTTTAAATGCATTGATCCCACAAAATCAATTGATACAAAGTTTTCGGTTTGGTCATATATCATGATACTGTTTTTAAAAAATGTTTCTTGTTTTTCAAGATCTTCCTCTCCTTCAAATAAATTCATAGGAAGCATATATTTTCCACATTTGTGAAATTAAATGCACAAGATCCAGTACAAGTCTTTGAATATAAAAAAGAATTCCTTGACGTTTTCAGTTTGTTCTATTTTTTTCTGTGCTTGCTGTATTTTTTCTATCTTGGTATTATAATTGCAAGATAACTCTATCTCTATTGTAGCATCTCTTTATTTTGCAGCGATACAAGCATCAATATGTCAGTATCCAGAGCACACTTTTAAGTCTCTGATTGGCCATTTCGCTCTTGAACGCAACCATTTAAAATGTTCTGATTGGTTCGAGCTGTGCACGAGTCTTTATGGACGGCTCAAAATGCTGACTCTTGTTGCCGAAAGCCTCTCACACAGTCGACTCGCTGCTGTGCCGACTGTGCGAGCTGGAGTTTCCCGAATCCACTTCGCTTTCAAGAAATGTAGTAATGGGGTGATCGCCCAATGCTTCAAGATCTAGATACTCCTGAGGAAAAGGAATATTTATCTTGGTTAATTACAGCTTTACAACATTTTATTACCATACATTCAAGGCCATAATACTAGACAAAAAAAACCAAAAAAAAACCCCAAAAGAGAGAAAATTAACCATTCATACACACTTAAATCAGCAAATTATTTACTGCTATTTGAATAAACTGCTTAAAATTTTTGATTGAGTGTTGCAATAATGAATGTTCCTACCTGATTTGTTGACATTTCTATTGTCCTTGCAAGATCTTCTGATAATTGTGCAAAGTTTGGACGGAATGCACGATTGGTCTGCCATGTTTCTCTCATGATGTGATATCTGATGATTCAAGACAAACATTTTTTTTATTCAAGTTTAAAATTCAATCTTGTGAGGTAATCATAATCATATGAATCTTTTTCACAACAAAATAATAAAAAAAATAATAATAAGAGAAAACATATACAGAAGATAACAATTTTTTGTTGTTCTAAAATCAATAAACTTACACTTCCAAAGGACAGTTCTGTGGTTGTTCCATTCTTTTTCCTGCCTTTAAGTAATCAAACATTTTTTCAACTGGAACACTGGGGTAAGGTGTTCCCCCAAGTGTCATGATCTCCCACAACAGAACCCCATAGGACCAGACATCACTCTCTGTGGTAAAGACCCGGTCAAACAGCGCTTCAGGAGCCATCCACTTCACCGGTAAGCGTCCCTGTTAAAATAAAACTTAACTTGTTACATCATATACATCTCGGCTAATTATTATGCTTGCTAGCAATTCTGGATCGGTTTTTACTAATTTTTACTTTCCCTTTTGCATCTAACAACAAATAATTTGTAAATAAACAGGATGGTAAAATCTCTACCTGGTAGGAGGAGAATGATATTTATCTGATACCAAATTAGCTGTATGATAAGGAATACTTCGCAGTGGGAGAGGTAGTTTGCAAAAGATGCATTACAAATTTCGCACATTTTTCCTGAGAATCCTGAATCTATATAGTGATTATGGAAGTTATCATGATGAAGCATTTTTGTTGATACAACATTCTCTAACCTCTTTAAAATTTCAATCTGTAAAAATTACTTTGTGAGATGTGAATAAAAAAAAATAAATTGCTTACATCTGTTGTCTTTTTATAGTAATCAACATAATGAATGTCTCTGGCTAAACCAAAATCTGCTATCTTCATCACCAAGTCTTCTGTAACCAATACATTTCTTGCAGCTAAATCTCGATGAATACACTAAAAAAAATATATAATAGGAAAAATATGTTAATACATTTCTACATAAAATAATTAGGTCTTTTATCTCATTTAAATTTGAATATAAATTATTATTAAATTTTTGCTAAATGTTTTGTAATGTGTCTTTTGTTTGACTTTTACTTTGCAACGGTTTTAAATGAACATTGATTGACCTAGGTTTTTTGCATATGTTTTCCTTTATTTCTTTTCTGAATAAAGGAATAGCTGGTGTTTTTCTAATATGTAATGGCTCAAAATGCAATTTTCACATGTCATGGTTTCCATGGTCAACTGGATACATCATACTAATCTTGTGCTAACCTTTTTGGATGCTAAGAATTCCATTCCTTTTCCGACTTGGTAGGCCATGGACAACAGATCCCTATTGGTCAACGTCTGGTTTTCAGGCATCAACACCAACTTCTCTGGAGGGATACCATCCGGAGGTCTTCTCATGCGCAAGAAATCACGCAGGTTCCCGTTCGGTGCATATTCAACTAAGACAAATGGTGCACCTAAAAAAGAAATGTATTTACAAAAATAGTTACTATCATGGAAGTGGTTTGGCGCAGTGGGAAGGTTTGGTTCCCAAACCTTGAGGTCAGGGTTTCAATCCCTCCCTGTGCATTTTGCTTGTGTCCTTGAGCAAGGCACTTTATCTGCATTGCTTCTTTCCACCCAGGAGTATAAGTGGGTACCTGGTAGGGTTAAATGCCAAAATGCACTGATGTAGCTACTGCAACGTTTTTGCAATACTCCACCAGGGAGCTTGAGTTTGTGTTCCATATGCGTTTAATCCAATGACTGGGGGTAGTAATGTGAAGCACTTGGAGGCCTTGTTGGCATTAAGCACTATGTAAGTTTAAAATATTATACTATTATTATTATTATCATCATTATCATATCATACAGTAGCAGCCTAGTGGGAAGACTGTTTACAAATAGTGGATTTGGTTGTTAGAGTGCTGGGTATAGTATTATTAAGGACTTGGTTTTGTCATAATAGACATAATGCATTGCCAAAAAGGGCCTCATTGCATTGTAGTGCAAACATGATTTTTTAACAAGAGTGGTGAAGAAAATTGTTTAATTAATTTTACAGAAAAAGTTTGGTAAACACTAGTGTGAAGTTCATATTTCATCAATGTTCTTAATACCGCCAGCAGCAATCAATCATCATGGATACATTTGGGTGTAATTTTCCTCTCCATTAATTATGTTTGTGCAAGCGTACGATTATCTGCTGGTCAAACATTATTTACAACTGAGTAGGCATGATGGATCCTGGCACTGACCATTGGTAATCCACTATAATGACCATCTGCTATTTGCGTTAGTCACATGTCATAGGCTTATTGACCTTTCGTTGATCTTGCTCTGGCTACCAGAATTGAAGAATATTGATGTTGCACTTACCTTCTTGTGTACAGCAACCCAGCATATTAATAATGTTGACATGCTTCCCAATATTCTTCATCATATCCATCTCCGACATCAAATCTGACAGCTCACGATCCGTAGCATTGGCTGATAAAACATTATATATTATATTAAACAACAAAAAAAGAGGACTATATTATATTATAATTAAATTGATATCATCTTTGTATTATTAATAAACGAATATATGTTTAAATAATGATGATTATATTCAATTCAAATTGACCAACATCAATTGAAATAAAAGCAATTTGATTTCAATTTACTTATTATATATAAAGACATATGTTTTTTATCTGAAAAAGGATAAGGAACCATCCATTTCTTTTTTTAAGAGACTGCAAGATATATACTATTTTCTGCGACCCTCTTTCAATGACTGATGATTTTGAGATTATTTTTTTCCATTTCCATTAAAAAGCACTTTCATATGTTTGGTACGCTCATGCAAAGTATGTACTATTTTCTGTGACCCTCCTTCAATGACTGATGTCGTTTTGAGATTATTTTTTTCCATTTCCATTAAAAAGCACTTTCATATGTTTGGTATGCTCATGAAAATGTTGGAAACAGTAGAACACCTTCATAAAAGTCCATTGCTATGATTGTATAAATATTTTGGCAACTGTACTGTACGTTTGTAACGACATCTGGCTCAGGAATTTCATGTGCACATATTTGGATTATGACAAGAAGGCTTATCTTCTGTTATCTTATCTCCGACTTACCTTTTAGCATTTTGACAGCAATGGTGTACGGCTCCTGCCCTTTTGTACCCTTCAGACCAACTGCAATTCCCATGACCACTTGACCAAATGCACCTTCACCTAGTATCTTGTTAGTGACAGTCAATCTAAACATAAAACAAAGTTTGAATGTTTGTAAATCACATCTCACCTTACAAAAATAATTATCTTTTACATGAAGTAGTGAATAATTGTTTATTTTATATTATACTTTTAAATTATATATATATATATATATATATAAAATGCAAAAGCAATGAAAAAACGATGTACAATCATTGAAAGTTGACTTGC